TGATACATTATCAAACAATATAGCTTAGCGTATAATCACAATTGGTTATTATAGTCATTGTCTTCTTTTAAAAAATATTTATTTGACAGGCATAAAGAGAGAAGGAAAGAGAGATAAGAGAACTTCCACCTGCTGCTTCTCTCCCTAAATGGCAGTAACAGACAAGTCTGGGCTAGGCTGAAGCCAGGAGACCAGATTCTGGCTGCAGGGGCCCTGGTACTTGGGCCATTTTCCACTGCTCTCCCAAGCAGGGGGAAGCAGAACAACCTGGACTCCAGCTGTTGCTTGACTGTGGGATGCTGGCGTTCCAAGTAGTGGCTTAACGGCTGTGCTACAACGTTGGCCCTGATTTTCATCACTTTTAAGTAGTACAAAAAAGTTCTTCATTTAAATTCTAATGTTGATACATTATAAAGAAAATAAAATAGCTGCATTTTATTCAAATTTCTCTTCAAATGATACTATCTACAGAATTTGGTTTGGGGATTATTTGTATGTGACTCTTCTTCAAGTCTGGCAAATATTTTTTTTCCATGTTTCATAGTATATTTCTCATGCAGTTTGGTTTTGTCTCTCTAAAACCTTTTTCTTTTCTTTGACAGGCAGAGTGGATAGTGAGAGAGACAGAGAGAAAGGTCTTCCTTTTCCGTTGGTTCACCCCCCAATGGCCGCTGTGGCCGGCGCACCATGCTAATCCGAAGCCAGGAGCCAGGTGCTTCCTCCTGGTCTCCCATGGGGTGCAGGGCCCAAGGACTTGGGCCATCCTCCACTGCAATCCCGGGCCACAGCAGAGAGCTGGCCTGGAAGAGGGGCAACCGGGACAGAATCCGGCGCCCTGACCGGGACTAGAACCCGGGGTGCTGGCGCTGCAGGTGGAGGATTAGCCTATTGAGCCACGGCGCCAGCCCTAAAAACTTTTTTTTAAAAAAGATTTCAAAATCAGAATTGCAGAGAAATGGAGATACAGAGAGCTCATCCATCTGCTGGTTCACTCCCCAAATGGCCACAACGGCTGGGGCTGAGCCCGGGCAAAGCCAGGAACCAGGAGTTTCCTTTGGGTCTCCCATGTGGGTGCAGGAGCCCAAGGACTTGGGCCATCCTCTGCTGCTTTTTCAGGCACATTAGCAGGAAGCTGGATTGGAAATGGAGCAGCCAGGACTTGAACCATTTCCCCCATGGGATACTGGCATCGCAGGTGGCAGTTTAACCAGTTATGTCACAATGCTGGCCCCCACTTTAAATACTTCTTAAAGATGAAAAATCTTTTTAAAGATGAAATAGCTTGATTTAGATTTTTTAAATAGATTTATTCATTTATTTGAAGGTCAGGGTTACACAGAGAGGAGGAGAGGGAGAGAGAGAGGTCCTCCACCTGCTAGTTCACTCCTCAAGTGGTCACAACGGCTGGAGCTGTGCCAATTCGAAGCCAGGAGCTTCCTTGGGGTCTCCCACATAGGTGCAGGGGCCCAAGGACTTGGGCCATCTCCCACTGCTCTCCCAGGCACGGCAGAGAGCTGGATTGGAAGTGGAACAGCTGGGACTCGAACTCGTGTCCAGATGGGATGCCAGCACTGCAGGCAGCGGCTTCACCAGCCATGCCACAGTGCTGGACCCTCAATTTAGATTTTTAAAAAAGATTTATTTATTGGGGTCGGTGCTGTGGCACAGCAGGTTAATGCCATGGACTGAAGTGCTGGCATCCCAAATGGGTGCCAGTTTGAATCCCTGCTGCTCCACTTCCGATCCAGCTCTCTGCTGTGGCCTGGGAAAGCAGAAGAAGATGGCCCAAGTCCTTGGGCCCCTGCACCCATGTGGGAGACGTGGAAGAAGCTCCTGGTTCCTGGCATCAGACTGGCCTAGTTCCGGCCATTGCAGCCAATCACCTGCTGCCTCCCGGGGTATGCATTAGGATCAAGCTGTATCAGAAGTGGTGGCAGGATTTGAACCCAGGCACTCCAATATGGGAAGTGGGTGACTTAATTGCTGCGTCAAAAGGCATATCCCATTACTTTATTTAAGACATTTTACATGATTTAACTTCTCATTTTACTATCCATTAAATTAATCACCTACTTTAATTCTCCATCCTAGGTAGTGATTCACTGCATTTTTTTTTAAATCCTAAATCATCTGCCTGGCATTTTACAAAATTCTGAATCATTATAAACCTAGAAAATTTCCATTGTTTTTTGTAAACACTATATTGATGGTGTCATAAAAAATCATTAGGCATGGCTAAATATTGGACACCTCATAGTATTCTTTCAAGAACAGGATGTGCAGGTTTTCTGTTGTCTCTTTCTGACGCTGGCTGTCAGTTATCTGAGGTTGTGAGCTCTTCTGTGTGTGACTCTTTGTGGTCAGCAGTTCAATCTTCCTTTAGTAAAAGTCATGAAGTCCCAGGGATTTCAACTGAGCAGTTCAGGTTGTGGATTTGGTGAGAATAATAACTTTCTTACTAATTTTCATTATTTTGACCAGTAATTATATCTTCACATAACAAAGAATTTGTAATGTCCTGTCTGCATTTGATGTTGGCCATCTTGGAAAAATATTGCTTATTTTTACTGTTTTCAAAGACTGCTTCTTTAAAGATTTTTTTTTCTTTCAGGTTTTTTTTTTTTTTTTTTTGGTGAGCTCTACTTTGGTACTTTTTTGTCTATCAAAATCTTTTTTTTTTTTATTTTATTTTATTTTTTTTTATTTTTGACAGGCAGAGTGGACAGTGAGAGAGAGAGACAGAGAGAAAGGTCTTCCTTTGCCGTTGGTTCACCCTCCAATGGCCGCCGCGGCCAGCGCGATGTGGCCGGCGCACCGCGCTGATCCGATGGCAGGAGCCAGGAGCCAGGTGCTTTTCCTGGTCTCCCATGGGGTGCAGGGCCCAAGCACCTGGGCCATCCTCCACTGCACTCCCGGACCACAGCAGAGGGCTGGCCTGGAAGAGGGGCAACCGGGACAGAATCCGGCACCCCAACCGGGACTAGAACCCGGTGTGCCGGCGCCGCTAGGCGGAGGATTAGCCTAGTGAGCCGCGGCGCCGGCCCGTCTATCAAAATCTTGATCTACGTTCATTTTCAAAAATCTAGTAATTAAAAAATAAAACAATTATATCCTAAGTATACAAAATCAAAATATATTTTCACAAAAAACAAATCTAATAAACTGGAAAAAGCAATTTGCAAATATAATTTTTGAAGTTAGTTTTTTGTAAAATATACAGGATTTTCTATGAAAGACAAGATATGAATTATAATGAATATTTTAAGAAAAATTAAAGTTGAAAAATCTTATATTTTTGAAATCAGCTAAATATTTAAATTTTTTTAACAAAACAAACTATTCACAATTCTGATATTGCTTGTCCACATAAATAGCTGGTCCTTCATGCAGGGCTGTCTGGACCTGGGTGGTCACTCCAGCAGCTGCCAGCTATAGGTGGTCTCTGAGTAGCCAGGAGCTGTGTGTGCCTAGTCCATACTGTGATGTACCAGAAGCGGAAAACACATGTCATATTTTAGAGATTTAGTATGAAACAAGGGTCCAAGATATCTGATTAATAATTTATTATATTGATTACATGTTGAAATGATAATATTGCGGATATATGGGTTTAAACAAAATATATTATTAATTTCACTTACTTCTTTCTTTTTTTTTTTTTTGACAGGCAGAGTGGACAGTGAGAGAGAGAGAGAGACAGAGAGAAAGGTCCTCCTTTGCTGTTGGTTCACCCTCTAATCGCTGCCGCGGCTGGTGCGCTGTGGCCTGCGCACTGCGCTGATCCGAAGCCAAGAGCCAGGTGCTTCCTCCTGGACACCCATGTGGGTGCAGGGCCCAAGCACCTGGGCCATCCTCCACTGCACTCCCGGGCCACAGCAGAGAGCTGGCCTGGAAGAGGGGCAACCAGGACAGAATCCGGTGCCCCGACCGGGACTAGAACCCGGTGTGCCGGCGCTGCAAGGCGGAGGATTAGCCTAGTAAGCTGCGGTGCTGGCCAATTTCACTTATTTCTTTTTAGTTTTTTTTTTATACAGCTACTAGAAACGTTTAAGTTAGATAGGGGCTCTTGTTATACTTCTGTTGAGCAGTGCTGTCCTATTCTTGCACATACACCCCATGTGTTCTGTAGTAAATTAACTATTTTGTGTATTTGTCATATGAGGGCCCAGGGCAGGCGCCCCCTGGCTTACATCCAAAAGCAGCATTGCCTGGTGGGGTTGTGTGGGAACAGTTTTTGGAGAGCACCAGGATGATATCATTTAAAATGAACATGGGCCACGGATAAAGCAGCCCCCTCCCTGTGACTCTAGGCAACAGACCAATAGCTATCACCCACGACCACCACGCAGCCAACCTTGTGAAACAGCCCTTGACCTGGGGGACGCAGCAGGTGCACCTGGGAAACTTTTTCACATCACAGCTGCCTGGATTTCCCTCCTCAGATCTGGTCAATTTGAGTCTCTGTGAGAGAGGCCCAGACATGCATATCCTGAGAAAGCTCCCTAGGTGGCTGTCTGGTTAAATATTACCTCACTAAGAAGTATGTGAAGTTGAATTCCACTACACATCCTTAGACCATATTCAAATTTTATTTTCAAAATTTCCCTTAGATCAAGAGGCTCTTATCGGGGATTCTGAAATCTGTAACACAGAAAGCCGTCATTTAGAACACATAACCTGACTTCTTAAGAGTTGTGCTGACTTCTCTGCACCGTGGAAGAGTGCTTCGGCAGGTTCATTACGTATCCCTGACCGCAGAGGACCTGTTCAGTCAATTTCAGAAGCGTCCCTAACATTGATGCACTGATGCTAATCACTCTCCATGTCAGAGAAGGAACTGGAACCTAGTTTAAGCTACTACTTGCAGCAATAATAAGTGAGATTAAATTTAACAATCAAAAGAGCCGTTCATCCATCATTTAAGGAATGCGCAAAATCAGGTGTCTGCCCGACTCACGCCCTTGCACAGGCCTGGCAACGTGAGCACACGCGAGACTTACTTCTGACAGTCTGGTTTCTGGGCAGCTTTCTCATGCTTCTCCTTTTCCAGGCGTTTCTTGTTCCTCTCTGTGACCAGCTTTTCTCCAGGAATCTCTGGAATCCCCATCTCTGCTGCAAACTGGGCTGCACCTTGGTCAGTCAGAAAGCAATGCGGTGTCTGAGCAGGGAGAAAAGGACAAGTGTTTATGGTGTGTTGAGAAATTTTGAATCTTTCCAAGTATTCCATCTGTGTGGGTGCAGAGACTCAAAGATGCAATTTCCCTTCATTTTCTGAATGCGGAAAAGAGCCTGGCTCTCTGAGTTTTTGCATTTTCAGAAAAACCCCTCCAAACTGATTTTTTTATTACTTTGGGGATATAAGTTACATACGACCTTAAATGTGGAAATTTGATTCATTTATCATTTTGTTTATTTTTTAAAAATGTATTTATTTGAAAAGTAGTGTTAAAGAGAGACACAGAGAGAGGACAGACAGACACTGGGGGCTGGGCCAGACTGAAGCTAGGGGCTAAGACCCCATCCAGGTCTGCCATGTGAAAGGGGGCTGAAGAAAGTACATGCATGTTCTGGGGCCGGCGTGGTGGCACACTAGGCTAATCCTCCGCCTGCGGCGTTGGCATCCCCTATGGGCGCCGGGTTCTAGTCCCGGTTGCTCCTCTTCCAGTCCAGCTCCCTGCTGTGGCCCGGGAAGGCAGTGGAGGATGGCCCAAGTGCTTGGGTGCCTGCGCCCGCATGGGAGACCAGGAAAGAAGCTCCTGGCTCCTGGCTTCAGATCAGCGTAGCTCCGGCTGTGGCGGCCATTTGGGGAGTGAACCAACAGAAGGAAGACCTTTCTCTCTGTCTCTCTCTCTCACCGTCTGTAACTCTACCTGTCAAATAAATAAATAAAAAAAAAGAAAGTACATGCATGTTCAAGCGATTCCTAGTTAGGCTGCTTTGTTAACAGCCATAACCTTGGCTGGTTTGAGAAGCTCAGGTAACGCTGTTTCTGTTCCTGTTTGCAGTTTTAGGACAGCAGTGATCTCCCGTCAGCCCCCTTTATGGCTGGAGGACAGTAACCATCCCTTAGAGGAGAATGCTGTCATCACAGATACCTTTTCCATAACGAGCCGTGCAAGTTTAACGGGATTTGCTATGCAGCGGACTGCAGACACTGCTCCCGTGGACAGGTCTTTTCCATCCATGATACTAGCATCCATTTCAACTTCACCGTTTACGTTCAAGACAGACCCATGACCTGAAACCAAGAAGTTGAAAAGTAAGAATTACACATTTAAGAATGGCTTTTAATTCATTCTGCATTCCATTACCAGAGGATTGTTTAAAATTTATTTTTGAACTGGGGAAGAGAAGGGGAGGGCGGGAGGAGACAGGAGCCTAGAACACCACCTGTGTTTCCTACATGGATGGCAGGGGCCCGAGCACTTGGGCCATCTCATACTGCTTCCCCAGGCACATCAGCACGGAGCTGGACTGGAAGCAGAACAGCAGGCACTTGAACAAGTGCTCAGATATGGGAGGTCGCAGGCAGTGGCTTAACCCCCACTGCACCACAATGCCAGCCCTAGAGATTTTTTGAAACTGATAATTTAAGCAAGATAAGTTTCTTTTTTCTTTCTTAATCTTTTTCTTTTTTTTTTTTTTTTAATTTGAGAGGCAAAAAGAGACACACAGAATGAGATAGTGAGAGAGAGAGGGAGCACGTTCCCATCCACTGGTTTACTCCGCAAATTCTCGCAATGGCAGGATTGGGTTGAGTTGAAACCGGGAGCTGCAAACTGTACCCAGGTCTCCCACATGAGTGGCAGGGATCCAGCTACTTGAGCCAACACTGTTGCCTCCCAGGGTCTGCATTAGCAGGAAGCTGGAACTGAGAGCAGAGCCAGGAAACGAATCCAGGCACTCTGATGCTGGAGTCCTAACCAGCATCTTCACCATCAGGCCAAATGCCTGCCCCAAGATTAGGTTCTGAAAATTAATTTTACTAATTATAAAGGCACTGCAAGCTGTCTTTTGGGTAGAGAATTGGATGCTTTACTATTAAGGGGAAGCAGGAGATTGAGAAAGTCAAACTTGAGAATTTGGGTTATGGCAATGCTAATTTCCTTAGTTAAATCTAATATTAAGCCTGTATTATCTGCAAAAGTACTGTAATACTGTCCATTAACCTAGCGGATACACTACTATTTGCCGAATGCATGTTAATAAAAAGGAAGCAAGTGCAACAGAACTATTTTTACACAAAATATATGACATTAGAAGGTACCAGAAGGAGAACTAGAAAATATGTGGGTCACATCAAGTTATGTGGGAAAATATGCCACAAAAAGACTCTCCCCAGCCAGTGAGGAGCAAGCAGTGATTACTTACCACAGTGAGGGGGAATTAGAGAAAAGGTCTTGAATTCACACAGAATTAGAGAATTAGTGTGATGTTAAAAAAAACTGCGTGGACTTGTGGCCAAAAAAGGCACAGGAACAGACTTAACTTCCTGCCTTAAACTGGTGGACACAAAAGGTGGACACAGCACCAAACAGCGATCATTCGGACGTCACTCAGCCATATCCAGGCCGTGCAGGATGGTGGCTCCCGAGAGAGGCGCCACGAGGAGTGCCCCATAGAGCCTCAGCTTTCTGCCTAGAGTGTTTCCAGTCCCCACACAAAGCTGGACTCTGTGGGGCAGAGCACTTGAGAGGAGGCTGCCAGGAGAGAGAGCCAGCAAACAAGTGAGGGCTCCCCGCTCTGCAGAGGAGCCCGATCCTTCAGCTGAGTGCTGGCGGTACAATAAGGGAAGGGTGGAGTGGTAAAACCTCAAAGGGCACCCGGTACTGGGTGTGGCACCCAAAGTATCCTGTATCAGCAGGGGGCAAGTCAGGCTACAGCAGGCCCCCCTGGTCCCAGCTAACAAACCTTAGGGGCAAATCTCAAATAGCTCAGACTGCTTCTCAAGTAATCCTTCAAGATTACTGAGACAGCCAGAGCCCGTCGAGATAAAAGTCATAATGTCTGGTCTCCAATAAGAAATCACCAGACACACAAAGAAACAGGGAACTATGACCTGGAATGAGGAGGAAAAAAAAAAAAACAACCCAATAGTAACAGACTTGGAAATGATACAAATGACACTTGGTAGACAAGGATGTAACACAGGTTTATAATTATGTTTCACATGTACTAGGTTCTGGAGGAAAATATAAAAGGACCCAAGCAGAACCAGAGATTGAAGAAGATATATATATATATACTGGATGGTGTTAACATCAGATTAGACACAGCAGCAGAAAATACTAATGAACTTCAGACACACGATTAAAAACCACAAAATAAAAACAACAACAACAAAGAACAAAGAACAGAATCATTGCGCTCAGGGAAAACTTCAAGCAGGTTAATATATGTATAACTGGAGTTCCCAGAATGAGAGGTGAGCTAAAGGGACAAAAAATTAAAAATGGATATATTTTTTTAAATTTCATGAAAACTAAACTCACAGATCTGAGAAGCTTAATAAACTCTAAAACAACCAAAATATGATGAACACTACTAAAGCCAGGTGCATCAGGATCAAACAGTTCACTGCTAATGAGAAGCAGAAAATCATAAAAGCATCCAGAGGTAAAGACACGTTAGGCAGAGAAGGAAAAAAATGATTATAGACTTCTTGCCAGGAACAATGCAAGCCAGAAGACACTGCAACAGTTTCTTTTTAAAAAATATTATCTATCTATCTATCTTCATGTTATTTAAAAAGCAGAGGCAGAGAGAGAAGGAGGGAAGGAGGCAGCAAGGCAGGGAGAGAGACTTTCTACTTACTATTTCACTTTCCGCAAATGTGCAAAACCTGGGGCTGGACCATGCTGAAAGCCAGAAGCCCTCCCACATGGGTAACAGGGGTCCAAGTACTTGAGTCATCACCTGCTGCTTGCCAGTATGCATTAGCAGGACACTGGATTGGAAGTGGAGGTGGGACTTGAACCCAGGCAATCTGATTTGGGATGTAGGTGTTTCAAGCAGTGTCTTAACTGCTGAGCCAAACTCCCACAATGGAGCAATATCTTTAGAGCATTGCAAGAATTATATAACCCGGGGCTGGCACTGTGGCATAGCGGGTAAAGCCACTGCCTGCAGCACCAGCATCCCATAGGGGCATTGGTTTGAGTACCAGCTGCTCTGATCCAGCTCCCTGCTATTGCACCTGGGAATACAGTAGAAGATGGCCCAAGTTCTTGGGCCCTTGCACCCATGTGGGAGACCTGAAAGAAGCTCCTGGCTCCTGGCTTCAGATCAGCTCAGCTGGGGCTGTTGTGGCCATTTGGGGAGTTAACCAGTGGATGGAAGACCTCTCTCTCTCTCCCTCTCTCTTCGTAATTCTGCCTTTCAAATAAAACAAATGAATCTTTTTTTAAAAAAATAATTCTATACACAAAGTGTCTTTCAAAAAGACTTTTTCAGATATACAAAAGCAAAAAAAAATCATCTATAGGAGATGTGCAATATAAGAAATGTTAAAGAAAATCCTTCAGGCAGGAGGGAAATAATATCAGATAACAAACAGGATCTGCACAGAGGAATGGGGGACACTGGAAATGGCAAACAGGAGGACAAACACAAACACTTTCCCCCTTGCTTCACAGTATGTTTAAAATAGAATCATTTGACACAAAAATTTCAACAACGTAGAAGTGAAATATGTAACAGCACAAAGGCTTGGAGAGGGGGAAAAAAGGTATGCTGTTATAAGGTTCTTACACCATCTTGAAGTGATGTTACTGTATAACTCAAAGGTAGACCGTGATGGTGGGAGGTACATGCCATAAACTCTAAGACAACTGATTAAAAAAAAAAAATGACTAGCTCCCAAGCCAACAAAGGAGATACAATGGCATCATGTTATTCCAAAGAAGGGAGTGAAAGAAAAAGAGGAAAAAAGGACCACAGGCTAGATGGGGCAAATGGGAAGCAAACAGCCAGATGACAGGTTTATACCCCAGTGTATCAACAACCACCTTAGATGGAGATGGTCTAAACACCCCAGCTCTGAAAAGTATTCCAAGAAATAATGGCTGAAAACTCCCCATATTTGGCAAAAGGCATACATCTAAATATTCAAGAAGCAGAACAGACTCTAAACGGAAGGAAGCACAAAGAAATCCACACTAACAACTGGGAACTAAGGACACAGAATCCTGAACGCTCCAGGAGATAAACACCATCTCTGACGAGGATGGGTAGCTTATCAGCAACATTTTCTCAAGTGCTGAAAGAACAGAGCTACCAATCAGTATTCTATTTCCAGCAAAAACATCCTTTAGGAAGGAAGAAGAAATCAAGTGGTAAGCACCTCTTCAGATGCTGATGAGCTGGCTGAGGGCTCAGGCTCAGGGACAGGGGAACCAACCACGTGGTTAGTGGTGGGACTTTCAGCCCCACCAGGACTCTGCCTACTGGGAGGCCAAGAGGCTGAGGGTTGAGTGGATAAACAACGGCAGAGACTTGGGTCCCAGTGAGGAGGCTTCCATAAAAACCCTCAGGGATGGGCTTTGGATGCTGAATATGTGGGGATCCAGGAGGGTGGTGCGCCCACACGTCTCTTCACCTGTATCCTTTATCCCATTTATTAATACACCAGAGTGGTAAATCTAAGTGTTACTCTGAGTTCTGTCATCTGCTCTAGCACATTAATTGAACTTGAGAAGGGAGTCATGGTGACCTTCAATTTGTAGCCAAGTCAGGCAGAAGTTGTGGGTGACCTACTCCTTTAAAAAAAAAAAAGTTATTTGCATTTTATTTTAAAGGGAGGGAAAGAGGGAGACATAGAGAAAATATGTATCTTCCATCTGCTGGTTTACTCCCTAAATGTCTGCAACAGTCAGGGATGGGCCGGGCTGAATCCAGGAGCCTGGAACCTAACTGGGGCATCCCACATGGGTAACAGGAACCCAAACACTTGGGCCATCACCTGCTGCCTCCCTGGGTGCACAGCAGCAGGATGCCGTATTGAAAGCGGAGTAGCCAGGACTGAACCAGGCACTCAGATGTGGGATGCGGGTGCCCCAGGCAGTGAATTCATAGCTGTGCCACACATCTGCCCTGATCTACTCCTCTGATTGGTATCTAAAGTCGGGGGGCTCAGCCCTCCACCTGGGGGATCTGACTCTACCCCCAGGCAGTCAGTGTCAGATGGAAGTGATCTCTTCCTGTGTGCCTTTTCGTCTGCATGTGTTCTTATATTCCTTA